AAGTGCCCTTCGCACTGCCACAGGTCTCCTCACGGGACACTGTAAAGTAAATAAGCACCTTCAAAACATGAAGCTTGCTGACTCTCCTCTCTGTCGAGCCTGTGAACAGGATGACGAGACGGTTAAACACATCTTGTGTGATTGCCCCTCTCTGACCGACCTCAGAATGAGGACCTTCGGGGAGGAATGGCCAACCACAGATGACATCAGGAATGCACCTCTAGGAGCTGTCCTAGCCTTTGGTAAATCCTTAGGCTGGTTGATGTGACCAGAGCGTGTAATGGGAGGATGCACAAGGGGCCCAATGGGCCTAAGTGTGGCGTGCGGTTTTGCATGCACTCCCCAATCCATACATACATAGAGAAGAAGACAAACACGTATAGGTCAAGAAGAAGATAGAAGAGATAGCAGATGGTGCCTCAAGGCATTTTTAAAACTTTTTAAACTAGCTGCATTGCGAACAACGGCAGGCGATTCGTTCCAGAACGCAATCGACTGCACTGCAAAAGATCTGTGGTAAATTTCAGTACTATGGACTGGAAACATGAGTGTAAAGTTCGACATTGATGGAGTGGGCAAGTCAATTGATGCTAAAAAGTGAAAGGCTTCAGACAAATAAGGCCGCCGAATCCATTACCACACCAAGATTTTTGACCGTATTAGAAAACGGAATAACAGTGTCGCCAAGCCTCAGTTGAAGGGTAGTTAAGGAATTAAATTGTGCCAGCAAGGGGCGAGTACCAAATGCAATGGCTTGCGTTTTACCTGGATTCAGGTTAAGTCCATGATGTCTAGACCAGTCAAGTACGCTAGAGAGATCGTTGTTAAGATGCAACAAAGCATCTGGGTTGACGAAATATAACGTTGAAGGTCATCTGCATACAAATGATAGTTACACGAGATACCATACCTAATACTATTTATGAAAATTGAGAAGAGCAAAGGACCCAGCACACTGCCCTGTGGAACTCCACATTTGATGTCAAATGGAGAAGAGAGTACAGATTCCACGCGGACATGTAAAAACCAATTGGAAAGATAGGACTGGAACCAAGATACACAAGAAGAGGTGAAACCAATAGCAGAAAGCCTAGTTAACAGGAGGGTATGGTCCACAAAATCAAAGGCCTTACCAAAATCAAGTAACACTAGCAAGGTAACACAACGCTTATCGCAAGCAGATCTAATATCATCGGTGATCTTAATCAGTGCTGTAGTAGTGCCCTTCATAAAATCCAGACTGGAACTTGTTAATCAGATTAAACTCCTCAAAATATTTCTGAATCTGTAAATAAGCTAAACGTTCAATAGCTTTTGACAACGTAGATAGAATAGAAATGGGTCGAACTCCCCAACATGGGATGGAGATTTAATTTTTGGGATAGGAATAACATGGCTGATTTGCCAGATTGACGGAAATATAGACTGTTCAAGAGAACAGTTGAAAATATGTGTTAGGGGAGTAATAACTATATCCAGAATGGGTAAGAGGAATCTGACTCCAATACCATCTGCTCCGATACTAGTGGACTTGGAGTAGGTTAAAGCATCCCGGACCTCAGCATCTGCAACCAAGCTGAATGAAAAGGAAAGCACGTTGGTAGATGCAAGGATTATATTAATTGTATTCTGCGTAGTTGTGTTACTAACCACCACAGGAGGAGATCCGCAAAATACTCCGATAGAGCAGCAGCATCAAGAGTGGGTTGATCTGTGGGAGACTCTATAACACCAAGTGATCGCATTGTTTTCCAAAATGTCTTATGAGTGGATCCAGACAATCTCTGACAGTAGTGCAATCTTTTAACGTTTTTGCATCGATAATTACAACGGTTACCCAGCACACGATAATGTTCCCGATTAGTAGCAGAAGGGCTACGTTTGAACAATAACTTAGCACGATTGCACTCCCGCATGAGAGACCTAATCTCATCATTTAACCAAGGTGCATGTGTCTAACTCTCCGCCGCCTCTCCGGAGCATGCTTGACATAAAGGTCAAGCACCTTGGAATTAAAGTACTCCACCTTAGCATCTATGTCAGGCAATCAGTAAAGTGGCTGCCAAGCTTTAGGTACTGATTGAGTAGTATTCTTTTTAATATTGCCTGCTTGTCTGCAAAAAATACGTTATTTAAAAAATTCATACTTTCGTATGGTATTTGTATTTCCTCCAAAATAATTTAACAACTTTGTTAGAAGATGTGCCACTCAATATCTACAGAGAAAAAAATGTGGTTTCAACAAAATGGTTGCCCAGCTCATTATGCTTGTCCTGTACGTATTAAATACAGAATACCCAGAAAAATGGATTGGGCGTCTTAACTTAATTAAGAGACATGGAATTTTTTTCTTATTTTTACCAGAACCCATACCTGGGTTGGTCTCTCACCCGGTGTCCGCTTAACGTTGCGTTTCGGGACATCTGTATATAATTATTATTTAAAAAAGATTTAAAATGATTTTTTATTTTTTATATATTTATGATTACAAGTTTATGTTAATAACTAAAATTATTAAGTATATTTTTAACCAGCACAAGGAGTTCCTTTAATCGCTTCATTTACATTCAGCCTAAATATCCTGTAATTAATTTTTGATTGATCCAATTTTCCATAAAGAAATTCAGGCATTCTATCCGAAAGAATATACAAATAAGGTTCATCTCTAGCCAACTAAAAAAAAAACACATTTAACATTAAAATCTATTAAACGATTTCATTTACCTTTATATCATTAGTAAACACTAATCTTTCACCGTCTTCAGCTACCAAAGCAACATTTTCCGGTGCCAAAGCTTTTTTTGTATTCCAACAAGCAACACCGTCTTTTTGCAATTGTGTAAAGAATAAAACTTCTGAGTTTGGATCGAAATCGCTTGCTGAAGTTTGCGAATCATCTCCTTTATCACCGAGCACTTTAAAAGCGTAATAATTTCCAGGAGTTGTAGCTGCAGTTTTATTCTTTAAAATGCTCGTACATACTCCAAATTCTTTCGTGCTAGCCAACGAATGGAAAAACGCCGTTCTATGTCCATTTTCTAATTTATTCGATAAGGCAATTCCAAAAACTCCATCAGTCCAATGGAAATTAACTCCACCCACAGTTAAATCACCTTGCAAAGGATCAAAGTGGAAAAAGTTATGTTCGACACGCCAAGAATCATCCGATGCTAATGAGTAAATTACAATTCCGTAACCACCTAAATCCGGAATATATGCGTAAGCATCGTTACAGTTATCTTTGTCAACATCTACAACCTAAAAAGAAATTAATAATTAACAAGTTATTTTTTTAAAGAAATTATTACTATGTTAGCGAAGAACGAAGAATCTTTAGCATCATCCTTTTTCAACTCATATCGTTTAATCAAAGTATCGGTTTTTAAATCAAAAATGACTATAGCGGGACTTGCGACGACGTTATAACTTCCTAAAATATCATCAACTCCGGTATCCATAACCCAAAGTCTGTCGCAAACGTCCGATTTAATTCGAAACGTCGAAATGATATGATCCGGCTTTAAATCTGTTTTATTTGAAGGAATTGTATTTGCCTCCCAACTTGGATACGGTATAAGAAAACTTGATTTATCAATCGGTTGTTTCAATGAAATGTAATTTAACGATGATCCAACACCAGATTTCCATCTAAAAAAAAAAAAATAAAAAAAAGTTACTACAATGACTAACGGAAATTAACGCCTATTTCATAATATCCAGAGAGTATCTTCACAGGAAAATTAGGATGAGGTGAAAAGAAGTGAAAGTTCGTTAGCACGTTTTATTTGGTGAGATTTTAATCCAAGTTGTGTTTGGCGATCGTTAAGATAATGATTGGGTTGATTACTTTATTGCAATTCATTTAATTGCTTTCTATAGATTTCTAGTCTTTTACCATTACATTTATTTTGTTGATAACGCTATTTGGTAGATATTTTTTGCAAAGATGTTCACCATGATGTGATGAATCCATTAAAAGATTTTCATTGTCAAAGGGATGTTTTTATCAATTTTTAACACGAATTAATTATGTTATACTTAGATCACATTAGACCTAGAATTAGAAAGCTATCAAGACCGCTAAATCCGAATTTTTCTAGTCCTGTCATCCTAGTGACCAAACCATATACGAAAGGTAGCTGTTTAGTGTTAGAGTTTAGGTGGTGTAACTGGTTCTAGGTTTTGTGTTAGCTTTAGTGATAGTGCTAGTGCAAAACTAGAACTAACACTAAATCTAGAACTAGAAAGTTTCGGCTAAACCCGTGCGTCTAGTTTTAGGTCAATAGCAATATACAACAACCTAGCGCTATCTAATGCTAACTTGCTATACTTAGCACTGTCACTACAACTATTATTATTATTATTGCTGCCGGGCTGAGGGGAGCGGCCTCTCTCGTTACCGCAACCTATAAGACAACTTTAGCCCTCCAAAGGTATAGGGAAAATGTAGGTCCTTGATGAACTTTATGAGGTCTTGAACCTTTATGTCGGTAGAAAATTTTGTGTCTTAGACGGCCTCTAGCGACGCATTTGCACAGTATATGTTCAGCTATTTCTGACTCGTCGTTGCAAAGTTGACAAGTTTAATTCTCAGCTTGTCCAATGTGGAAGAGGTGGTGAGAGCGTCCTTAGATCCCCTTTGCTGAGGCATAAAACCTCTTTGGTTTTGTTTTGCGACGGAGTTATCATACTCTTTGCTTGTCTGTGATCTGGAAGTTCTTTCCAGCGTAGGGCTACCTTTGAGACGTCCTTGAGGATTTCGAGGTGTTCTATGAGGTTGCCCTGCATCAATTTGAGTGAAGAAACTATTTTCAGTGATAAGGCACTTGAAGCTGCCTCCTTTTGTATTGTAATAAAATCCCTGTTTCCGAAGAAACAGAAAAAAGACTAATTAAATTTAAGAAATTTACAATTTTGGATTAGACTATAAGTAGTTAGTTTTGTTATGATTTTCGTTTAGTTTTAAGAAAAATTAGGACGATGTGCAAGAAAAAGGTAATTCATTGAAGTCTATGACCTTCAAATTTTGACCTTGACATTTACATTTTGACAGGTATTGATTTTGGCGACTTTTCAGACGATTTTCGATTCTAAAACCATGCGAGATCGATAGATCGTGTCGATTTAGCCCTTAGGCCGCAATTTCATCCATTTCTGAATCATTTTATATATTTAAATTCCATTTTTTTTCTTTCCAAACTTTAACATCAAATTACGAATTTCTCGAAGGAATTTGACACCCGAAAGCGCGATTATCTAAAAGAACGAAAAATTAGCTACAAAATTACAAAATCTTAATCAAATTTAAAGTTTATTAATAATTTCGAATATTTTCAAAGTTGATAGTTATTTTCTTTAAAAAAATCAATCATTTTGGCCAACCTGTGTAATTTATAATTCCCGCCATTTTATCAACCAATCAGAGAGCCCAGATTCAAACTGAGGCGACCAAATTCGGATATCCAAGAAGCCTTTGTCCAAAAAGGGTATATAAGGCCGCGCAAATTTGACACCTAGAGAGTTCAATTTTGGCTAGAGCGAAGCGTTGTCGAATCTACGTCAATTTAACCTAAAAATTTCTAACCTAAGTTTGAACTTAGAATTTTTTTTTTGATAACTCAATTTTCTTTATCAAGTAAAAGTAAACAAGTGTTTCTAAATTATCTGCGAAGAAATCGAAACCATACCTGAGATCGAGTCCAATGTTCAATCCTGTTCCCGAAGGACCCGAGAACTAAATTTCCCGAGAATCCTAAACTTCTAACACCGAAGAACATCCATCCCGCAAGACCCAGGTCAACCAACCATTTTTAACTGACATGTCACGCCTCCGGAAACAAGTTAAGTGAACTTAATTTCCTTTTATCGAAGTCTTTAATTTTTATAACCCTCGCGATTAAAATTAAAAAAAATCAATCTTAAAAGATCCTTATAATAATCCAATTAAATAATTGTTATATGTTTTCTGTGTAATTTATGTATAAAAAATTTGGTTTATATAATTAATTAATTCGAACAAAACAAAATAATACAGTATATATAAATGGAGAGCAGTGTGAGACCGAGTAGGGCTTCGAAAGCAGCCGTCGGACAGGATCTCATTGCACCCGTTATGTTAAGATATGCTAACCGCTAGATTTGTCCCAGCTGTTGTTGTGCTGTCTTATGTTTGGTTTTTGGTCACCAAACCAATGAAGCCTAGGCGACCATGGGTCTGATTATTGCTACGAAGGCCCAATGACCCATTCGTGGTTCCTTCCTAGCAGCCTGCGGCAGATCTGGTTTGCCTTATCTATAGTGCGACCAGTTGGATTTGGCCGGCGGAAAATATGCGAACTATTATCGGAAACGTCTTACCCCTCACCTCCTTGACCTATATATTTGGCTGTAGTACAGTCAAATTACCAAATAAAACAATATGTATTTGATATATTTCTGACATTTCATTTCTTAGACAGCGTTGCTTGAGTTAGATTACGGTTTTGTGAGTTTATCGAGTTTATTTTCTATTATCGTTCTATTTCGTTTATCTATTAACTGTTCTTTTCAGAGCAAAAGCCCTTCTCATCTGATTTTCAGGTCAGTAATATTAATTTTAATAGGTGTCAGATATGTATGTATATAATTTATTTTCACAATTAGATACGTATATTACAAACATGCCCAAGAGAAAATCCGAGCAGAGCGAAGCGCTCACAATACTGCAGAATATTATCACATTTTGCGAGAATGAAAAGGCGGCAGGAAGATATACATTTTGTGTTGACCAGGTTATAAGTCGTGTGGCAGCAATGACAGGGAAATCCGAGAGAACAATTTGAAATACCACAAATATATTTTATGTTATAATGTAATCAATAAATATGTATGTAGAGTATAATATTGTTTTGTATATGTCGACATAAAATCAAATATTAATAACTAAACAAAAAGCCTTTATTTTATAATCTAAAATGCAACACTCATAACCTCGCATTCACAATTGTCCACATTATAAATATAAATGTCAAACTTTTCAATTAAGCGTCACGAAATTTTTGTTCTGAGTGTACCTTTCAAAACGATCGCGATGCTTGACCGTCCATATTGGGTTGGTCGTACTAGTGTGAGTTCCAGTTTAGTTTACTGTCTAGTATTACCCCTAGGTATTTAATTTCTGTTTTGAGATTATTAGTTCTGCTTTCAGTTTTATTTGTAGCTTCCTTCTCCGATTAAAGGGACTATTTCGACTTTATTTGGATTGATGCTGAGCCCATTGCTTCTACACCAAGTACTGGTGACTACTACTCACCAGCTGCTTTCTGCATTAGTTGAGTTATGATTGTATCATATTTATCTCGGATTGTGATTACGAGGTCATCAGCATATCCCTGAATCTTGAATCCGTTTTTTGTTAGGGTGTTCATCAAGTCATCCATCAACTACCAGGCACCATAATAGAGGTGATAGCACTCCCCCTTGGGGATATCTTCTTAGCCCCTTTATAGTCAACGATTTTAACATACTACAACTAACACTAGACCTAGAATTTAGCCGTTAAACCCGATTAAAGCTAGAACCAGATTTTCATTGTTAGGTGGTTTAGGAACTCTCTTTTCCATCCACATAACTAAACCATAACTTTGGTTTCCACAGACTTTTTCTAAATGCTATTTCGTCAAATATATTCGGATATAGAGTATTATTTTCTAAGGATTTCTGAATCACAAAAATTATAATTCGTGTGAAAACTTTAATTCTCCTTTTTTATTAGATTTTTTTTCAAAAATGAAGTAATTTTTAGACATTCCAATGAAATAGGCACAAAATTGTTAAATTATCGAAACGGTTATCGACGCATGATTGAACAAAATTATTTTTTTAAATTGAAGGTCACCTTACTTTCTGTACATTAACGGATTAAAGTTCAAGTGAAAACTATTTATTAAATGCGAATACCGATTTTAGTCTCTTGAAAGTAATCCTTATTTTTACTTTTGAGCTCAAGGATTACAAGATTTTTTTCTTTACTTGTATTCTTAAATTCCATTTCAGGATTGCAGTCTCCAAAAAGATTTCATAACAATTTTAAATGACAAATTAAATTAAGATTTAGGAATGAATTGTTATTACCTGGGTACTGTAACGAAAAGTTTATCATTCCATTTTTCCAAACCTAAGGGCAAATTATTTTCCGGTGCGAAAGTTCCTTTTGAGATTGCGTCTTGTCTTTGTTCCAAACTGGGCCATGTATAATCGATTTGATTCCACGAGAAGAGTTCTTCGAGAGGTGCTATCGCTGAACTGATCGCGAACGCACCGCAAACGGTTAAAAACGAAACGTAACGATGCATTTTGTGACTTCTTCGGCAGGTTACCACCGACTGCGGTTTCAACTTGGATTTGCAAATTAAAAATGTAGAGAACCACTCCCACCAGAAACTTGCACAGACTCAACTTGTGTAGGAGCTAAACTCGATTTTATATCATTACCTTGAACTTATCTGGAGATTTATTAAGTAATTAGTCTTATTTTTAATTTTTTTAAGTCTATCATCAGGAATGTCCATCGTTTGATGACCAGCTTCTAGTTAATTAATCTCTAGTAAGAGAAAAAGAATTATATATCAAAGAATGCAAATAAACAACTCTGAACATCTAAGAGCAGGATCTTCTTTTACCTTGAACTTCTGAAATGGAAATTTTATTAAATTTTGTTTATTTTTCTCAATTAATTATAATTAGCCAGTTTGCGTCCGAACTCAGAATTAATCATCAATTAAAGTTTTGTTAAACGTTTTTGGTTGTTTATTAAAAACAAATTTTTCTTTTTATTGAAGGCCGACAGTAACAAAAATGAAACAAACAGCTTCTATTTTCTTCTGAAGTGTTAAATTACAGGAAGTATGCTTTCGAATCCACAAATAGGTATCATCATCAAAAACACAATGGAGTTATTCCTATGTAACGCTTTTTGTTATGAAATGGTAACAATAATTCAGCGCGGAAAAGTAAATCACGTCGGTTATTATGATTTCAAGGAATTTTCAATGAAACGATTATTATTAAATTGAAATAGGCTTTAATAATTTTAATTTAATGAGTAGGTTAATTAATTTACATATAGAGTGTTTGGTGAAGTATGCAAGTTTTCTAAAAAGGAAATTTGTTTATAATAACGCTTGTTTGCAATAGCGCCTTTACATAAAAATAACATTATTACAACGTATTCAAAGTTTCAAACATCCACTGCATTTTTTATGAACATTTCACGTGATATGTTTTTTCTGTTAATTTTTAATAATTGAATTTTAAAGAGGATTTTTATTTTAAACCTAGATACATAAAACATACCTGACTTTCTTAAAGTCTTACAAGTATCTCTAAAAGATTCTCTGGAGATACATAAACAAGATTTAGACGGTCATGTTACACAATTATTACGTCAGATGACGGTCGCCTTTTGAAAACGAACGTGACTTCTTCTTGAAAGGTTAAATAAACTGGATCGTGGGCAATCTTGCAATCAACTTTAACTATTCGAAGAATAATTCTTCCATTGTCTATAGTTAAGCATGAGATTCCTTCGATATAACGACGGTTACTAATAAGCTAAAATTATTTCTTGATTAAGTAATTTATCTCTCAGAAATTAAATATCTTCAATTTTTTGTAATTCCAACACATCGTGGGATTATTAATCTGAAATGTTGATTAAACGCTGTTAAAAAATATGTTGCAATGACAGATGTAACTCTTATTTGTATTCAGGGCGCCTCTTCTTTCTTATTTAATCAACGTTTTTATGTTGCGCGGTACTCTATTTTCTCATATACGTAATCGTTATATTGAATTGGGGCGATACAAAGTGTTGTTAAATAACTTGGGGGTACAGAACTGTCGCTGTTATCACTTTCGATTATTAATTAAAGTATCGTCTTTTTAATGCAAGAAGCCGTTTTGAAAAATCACTTTTAGTTCTTGAGAAATAAGTTTTTGAAATAAACGAAATATTTTTCGAATTTTGTAATTTTCGCCGATTAAGTTTCAAAAATTCGTATAAAATCCATTTCTTGGAATATGAGTATAAAAATTTCCTAAAGTGTTAATAAGAGTGTCCTCTTTCCAATGAACCAACCCGTTTTGACAAATAACTTTTAGTTTTTGAGAAAACAATATTTGAAGTTTTCATAAAATTTTCGATGTGGCAATTTTCATCGATAATTTTCAAAATTCGCTATAAAATTAATTTCTTGAAGGATCCTTGTGGAAATATCACCAATTATTAATTAAAGTATCCTCTTTTTAATGCAACAAGCTGTTTTGAAAAATCGCTTTTAGTTCTAGAAAAAAAATGTTTGAAATGATCGACAAGAAGAAGAAGAAAACAATATTTATTTGGACTTATATCAAAATTATAACAATAAGAAATACGAAAAGAAATACATATATAAAATAAAATAAATATAAAAAAAGAGTCCAAAAGGGCTATAGACCTTAGTCTTCCTGCCCGTGATTTTGAGTTTGGTTTGGTTGTACTTGGGTCTTCTCAGTTGGGCCTTATTTTTTTAAGAAGTGTGAGCCGTGTTATGGGACAGCGGGTAAGGGAAAGGGGAATGATGATGAGATTTTTTAAGGCGTTTTTGGGGAAGTTCATAGTTGCTTTAAGGGCTCAGGATTGTAGACGGGAGTTTATAGGAGGAATCTTTGTAAGTTCGTAAAGGAGTTCGTTGGAAGGGTTGAAAAGTGGGTTGTGAGGGTGTCTAATGCGGGTGATAATTCTCAGGGCTGCTCTCAATAATAGGTCGGCATATTGAGGTGTATATGTGAGTAGCGCATTTGGTGGATATCCCTCGGTCTCTATATGAGAGTGAGCGGAAGTGTTTGGCGCGGTTTTTGACTTTCATTTTTACTTTGATGGCGTGGGCAGAGAATTTAAGGGTTCTAGGTAGTTAGGTAATGCCGAGGTAGTTACAAGTTGGTGATGCTGTGGTAGGAGAAGATTGAATTATTATTGTGGGAGGAGCAACGCGAATAGGGAGAAAGGGGATGAAGAATTGTGTTTTGGAAGGATTTATCAGGATACGCCATTTTCGGTACCATTCCTCTGCAGCCTTAGGATTGATGATGGAATGTCTACATCATGTGCGACGAGAGTAGTATCATCGGCATAAAGTAGGGCGTAAGACATCGGATCGAAGACGTCTGGGTTGTCGTTGTAGATGTCATGGCAGTAGACATTGTACAGTGCTGGCGAGATGGGAGAGCCTTGAGGGAGACCTTGTTGAGCGGTGAAACTGTGAGAGTAGTAGTTCTTCACTTTAACCAATGAGGAGCGGTCTGAAAGAAATTCTTTTAGCAGGTTAAGAAGATAAAATGGGATTTTCAACATAGCTAGCTTGTACAGTAGACTCTGTGCCATACGGCGTCGAATGCCTTCCGAACATCCAGGAAGACTGCGGCGAATTGTTGTTTTTGGTAACGTGCGACTTGGAAGTTTGAGACAAGCACTGCCAAGGGATGAGATGTAGATCTACCTTGTTGGAATCCAAATTGCTTTAACAGAATCCTCCTTGCAACAACATCGAGCAGCTTGTTCTTCAAGTGTACCTCGAAAAGCTTCCCCATTACGGGTAGCAATGAGATAGGACGGTAGTTCGCAGGGTCGGATAGAGAAGAATCTTTCTTGGGGATGCATATGATAATAGAGGTCTTCCAATCTTGTGGGAAATGCTGGGTGGTAAGGCAATAGTTGTAAATTTTTCTTATGTAGGCGTGGATATCAAGATCCAGCTTCCTTAAGATTTCCCTTGAGATGTTGTCGTATCCAGGGGCTGTGTTGGTTCCTCTGTTAAGAAGTGTGAAGTATTCTTCTTCCTGCATGAGAGCATCTTGAGGTGTTTCGGACGAATTGAGAAAGGCGTGTTGGTACCAATTGTCTATTGTGTTTTTGTTGTGAGGGCAGAACAGGGCCTCATTGCTGAAGGAAAACACCCTCTCAAGGTATTCAGCGTGGATGTTTACGATTTTTTCCGGACTAGAGTGTGAGCAGCCATCCGTAGGGTCAATAAGCTCCTGGGTTTCTGGTGTTCTTGCCAGTAGTTTTTACCCTTGCTTCTGTTGATTTTGTCACAGGCTTCCATGTATTTTTCGCTTCTGAATTGCTGCACTAGTTTTTGGATATTTTTATTAAGCTCGTTGAACATTCTTTTCAGAGCAGGCTCCTCATAGGATCTAAAATCGCGGTAGAGTCGTCTCTTTTCCTTAATCAAACGGAGAATAAATGGTGGCAGAGGAAAATTGTAATGTTTCTTGATGTTGGAAGGGCTCGCTTCATCCACCAAATTAAGCAAGCGTTTATTAAAGGTTGCGATAGACTCGGGTGTGATAACAGGGTTAGATCTCACATATTCCTTTATTCCTGCGTTCACTCTTTCCATATTACAAAGTTTATAGTTTTTGATCAGAGTAGGAGCTACTTTAGGTATTCGAATGGTTGTATTAATGCAGATCACAAGACCCAGATGGTCAGAGCACAGATCAGGAATGACATTAACAGACGTGATGAGCGGTCTTATGTTG